AGATATGAGATGAGAGGGTAAAGTCAGTGGGAAGCAAAGACACTGGCCTAAGATTTATCAATAGAAAATGTGTTTCTGTCCTTTTTCAGAGTTGGTGAGATGAGACACTTCACATGCTTTCAGGCACTTCAGATGTTTTGTATTCAAAGATAACCATCTTCTTGCATACATGCTTCTTTACAGGGCTCCACTGTTTCCATTCCTGCCTTGCCTTGAGAACTTTACTGTGGACTATTTCAGGGTGGGACAGAGTGCTATGTCTAAGCCTGCAGCCATTGCATCCACAAAAAATATGCACTGCAGTTACTGTTATTTATGACGAAGTTTAAAACATGACATGTGCCTGAATCATTACTTAATGCTATGCTATTCTAAGTGGTAGATGGAATAGACTAGGTGGAAAGCCAGAAGATTAAGGGAAAAAGGGGAGCGCTGACATAAACTGATGAATTTAGTTGATGCTGTGGCCTGGGACTTACTCCTTTTCCTCTCGCTCCACTACAGGAAGTCACATATGGGGGCACTGTGCTTTAGATCTGGACCCTGCTCTGCTTTAATCACACCAGATACCACATGATCTTTAACTGCAAACTGGTATTAACTTTGCAAATCACCTACCCCATTGACACATCCTCGGTACCTAGGTGCTGACAGGCATCAGATCACTGCTCTATAAAACCTGCTCTGCATGGATGCTCTGCATCTCTTCTGAAAGGATTCTTAAAATCATTTAATCAAACTCTTCCATTCTTACTAAGAGGCCCTGCAGCAACAGTCTCACCAACTGCATGCCAGACTGAAGATCAAGAGGCAGTTCAAAGGAGTTTGGAACAGGGGAGGAAAAAGGAAAGTAGATCTTCCTCTCCTAAACACTTGGAGATGGCTGGGAGGCTGGGAGAGGGGTGGGGGATAAATTTTAAAGTGCCTATGTTGTTTCAAGAAAAAACTGTTTCAGTCTTTTGGGAGAAAAAAATGTGTGATATTTAGGAAATCTGGCTGTAAAAACAATAAAGAAAGGGGACACTGCCTCAGACCTATGGGGTGGGGAAGAAAGAGGTAAATTTAGATGTTAACAGGAAAGCAAAATTTCCCTTGAAACCTGAATTTGCTTTTGTTATCACCACACAAGTGACAAAAGATGTTATGCAGTGTTTGTGGGTTTGGTTTTTTATGAGCTGCCCTTATCCAGCAGCCTGTGCAGAAGGACAAATTATTTTTAATCTTCAGCCTATCTTTTTTTCAGCACCATCCCTTATTGGATTCAAAACTCAGCAGGGACTTAAATATTTCTCAGAACAAATACCTGTCTTCCCATACTACTTCTTCAGTCACTGCTGCCCCAATAAAACATCTTCTGATTGAATCCAGTCAGGTCACTGCTGTCTATTACCAGCACATCGTTTAATCACAAGTCAGGAGTTTTACAAAGGACTCTTATTCCACCTCAGAGGCTGGTATAATAGCACGCTAACAAAGGAAAACACAGGACAAAGCAATTTGGATTTCTGCATTATCAGCAACAGTAATGGAAAAATATGATTTAAAAGAACAAAAGAAGTTTTTGAATCCTTTTTCTTGGTTGTTGTTTTTGGTTTTTTTTTCCCTGCCTTCAGCTTGATTGGTATTACTGATAGGAGGATTCCTCCTCTGGAAAATTTCTGCTTTACTAGTGTGAGAATGTGATTATGTGCAACAATGAGAGCCCTGCCAGCGGGAACTACCTCTGTGCACCCGAGGGATGGCTTTACTCATGAGAACATATAGATTGAGATTCACAGTAATGTAGCTACATTTAACAATGCCATGCAAAGTGCCCTGAGCAAGTGTCTCCAGATCCTGCGTTGGAGACCAACGCAGCTCTACAGCACATTTGGTTTATACACAAATTCTCATTTTTCCTTCTCAACATATTTCTTTCTGTATGCTTGTTTTGTTTTGCATTGTAAAGACAGCACGGCTCTCTCACTTTTAAGACCACCTACATTTTAATCTTGGGGAACTATCCTTGACTTAGGATAGCTCCTTCAGGAGCTATCTCAAGGACTCACTGCCATTCAGTCAGCACGCCAACAAAAATCAAGCCCTCTCCTGTAAGTCTGGCTTCACCTTTTATTATTCAGGTGCTAAATAAAATGTTTACTGGCTTATTTTTCATTGCACAGCCAAGAAAGAAGGATTGGTTCACATGTGACAGACCTGAAGAAAACAGGTGTGGAATAGGTCTTCACAATAAAAGAAAGTCCCTGGCTGAGCTCTTCTCACTTCTCACTTATGATGGGGTCTCCTGGCAACACAAGTACAGATGGCAAGTGATTTCATTACTTGCTGCTACATTTGAGATTTCTGACCTTCAATTATTTTTTGTTGTATGGTTCCTTAGAGTTTAAGACAGTAAGAACATTTCTAGTGGTGGGTTGTGAATGCAGGACAGAGGTCTGTATAAGGAACTGAGGAAGACAAGAACTGGGGACAAGATAACACAGGATAGATTTGAAAGAACAGGGACTAGATACAGTACTTTCCCCTTCCCACTTCAGCACAGCTGATATCTAAGCTTCCCACCAACACAGCAGCTATCTGGACCGGGGCAGCAACAGCAATGGTGAAGCTTATATGTAAAAGCAGAACACCCATCTCACTAGCTTATCACCAAAGCAACACTCTTTGCCATGACAACCAGGTATTTAACCTGCTCTTAAAAACTCCAGTATGAGAGATCCCACAGCCTTTCTAGCAGTTATGTTCCAATACAGCAGGCATGCTCAAGTCTCTTCCTTCAGACAGAACTGCCTTTGGGACTCCATCTGCACTGACAGCAAAGGAAAAATCAAGCAGGTGATGAGTGAGAACCATAAAAATACAGAGAACTTGAGCCTTCCCAGGGGCCTTCTCCATCTCCACCTTCAGCAGGCACTCATGGAATGAGGTAGATGGATGGAGTGGAGCAAGGATAAGGAACTGGATCATTGAATTCTAGATTCTGATAGAGCCGAATCACAGAAACTAGCAGATTTCAACTTTGGGCCAAGATGTGGTACTATCAGGTCTAGCCTTCAGGCTCTTCTATTGATTGCCAGAAATTATCTAGATTCTCATTTCACCCAAACAGGAGATGCCTTCTTCCATCCAAACTAAACCAGTTAAAATATCCCAAAAAATACAACTCAATTATCAAACCTGATTTGTTCTTGGGACACTTAGAAGAAGTAAGTGTGATGAAGATGTGCATAAGCTAGAAATTTACATAGTAGAAATCTGTAATGAATCTGTAATGAATCTGAACTGCCTTAACCGGAGCATCTTTAGATCTTTTGAAAACAGATGTAATACTACAGACACTGAGGTAGCTCATGCTGGTTAAAGCTGGCTGGACACTAGATGTTTTTTACATGATAGAGTGGGAATTTGAAAAGATGGATTATCTTGATTCACAGCATGCATAGGGAAGTACTTATTTGCTGCAGTCATTTTTAATGCTGAAGCTGACTATAAAATTTAAATCTTAAAGTCAAAGTTGAAATATCAGAGCAATTTAAGAGATAACTAGGCTACTTCCGTGTTAGAAGGTGGACACATTTATATCGTAATATCTAATTGCTTTTGTATTATTTATTCAAACATTTAAAAGATTCAGCCACATAGCAGGGAATAGAGTTACAATGAATAATTTGCAATTTTTTATTCAGTGTAAATTAATTCAGGTCTCCAACCACTATGGGAATTAGCATTATACATACAGTAAAAAGGCTGAAATGCAAGGTTAAAGCAACGCACCATAAATGTTCCCACTGAATATTTTAAACTTTTTTTCATTCCTATTAACATAGATTATTCTGTTTATGGATGCTGGGGTGAAAGAAGATTCCTGTTTCTAATAAGAAAGACTCTCTTGTTCAGAAGGCTCATGAGGGAGACTTAGCAATAGACTTTGTAGGGATGCTTCACTCTAGAAAAGCTTTGGTTCTCTCATTTAGGCCACCGTCAATCATAATGTTGTAATCTGGCAGCAGGGGTGGTGGTGAATAATCCACCTGTTTCTTCTCTGCTACTATAAAAGCTACTCCATACAAGGCTTTTTCCCAAGGATTATCCCTGCATAGCACTTAGTGCAGTGGGTTCTAAGCTCAAGTTGAAAGCTCCTAGACAAGATAGCACAAATAGCACAGAAATATCAACCAGGTAATCCAACAAATAACACACAAATATCCAACCAGGCCACTCCTATTAAAATATATTTCCATGACTCAGGCTGTGTACATACAATACATATGATGACTGATGCAGATCTATTACTTTACACTAAGTTTCCTTCCCTCCCATCCTTTCTCTCCTCCTTGTAACCCTAACTCTTCTCCACAGATTTTCACTGACATATCCATTTGACTTGACAAACTCCCTTCTGTACCACTGAACCAGAGAGGGAAAGTACGTCTTGTGCAGTTTCACTGATTTGCATCCATCATTTCATGAGCACTGCTGGAGATAAAGCTCCTCCAAACATGTTTCTCTTGTTATTTAAGAAAACTTCCGAGCTCTTCCATGGAAGAAAAATTGAAATTAACCCAAAACTAAATGGAAAGATTTAATTGCACCTCCTTTGGTCCAGATCTGGGCATCACCTGTCAGGGAATGCAAAAGGACTTATGTTATCATACACTGCCTTATAAAAAAATCAAACTTGTGCCCAAAACTTGCAACTTGACACATACAAATCCCAGTTGTCCTTAACGAAGCACTGTGTGTTCACTGAATTCTTTGCTGCATCAATAAATCATGTACAGTTCTCTTCCTGAATACAAATAGGCATGTCCTATGCACAGAAGCCACCATTACAGCTTATCCAATGCATCAGTCCATGAATCCATGTACATGCTCACGAGTATGAAAGCCAGGATCATTTTTCAAGACCATACATGACCTGGACAGTGTCATTAAGAGGGCTTGAGTAACCTGGTGTCACACACCCAACCAAGTTAGAAGCATGCAAAGAGATTACTCACCTCAAGCACAAGAAAAGCATAAAGGCAACTATAAGGGCCCCTACTGATATACAGTGCCCCAGGTAGTTTATGATGAGAGCAATCTTGTAATGGAGCGCATACTTCCTCTGGAGGTAAAGAGATAACATGATTAAATCAGCATGACTCTCTAAGCACTGACATTAAGGAACAGTTAATCAGTTTAGGAAACAGTAATTACTTTTCTTGACTTTAAAATTATATAATAGCCCCAGGGCTGATGCCTATGTATAAGCCAAACATGCTGCCCAGGCACAGAAGCGTAGGCTTGGTTTCATTTCAGTTTGGGATTTGTTGACATTTTGTTACAAATCTCAGCAAAAAAGGGTGCTGTCCCCCCCTTTTTTTAAATCTGATTTCCTCAGGATTTCTTATTTTTATTATTACATTATTTTAAAACTTTGTAATTTTAAGGTGACAAAGATACCAAAGACACATCTTCTCACTGTCAAAAGTTATAATAAATTATTTTGTTTAGGAAAGTGCATGGTTTTAATGAGCCAAGTTATGCTACTCTCCTACTCAAATGGCTTGGTTTTCATACAAAAATGAAACAGTTGTCAGTAAGAATAAATAATAAGTGCTTTCCATATTCTGAAGTACATTCCTTGCAAGCTATGATTCTTATCTTTCAAATTGAGGGCAGAATCAATGTAGACTGAAAGAGCTGGAATAATCTTGTAGTGTCCTTTCAGTTTTGAGAGAACCTGACAAACCAGAGATCCTGTTGGTTTTAGCAGTGACTCAAGTGTGTGGTGAAACTTCACATATTAGTATCTATTTCCTAGGATGCTCTGGAAATTATTGGTAGGTGCTTGATCCTGTAAACAAAAGATTAAGTGCAAAAATGCTCCCACCTAAATCGGTGAACTTAAGTGATGTGACCAAAATTTGACCTTGAAGTAACTGGAACATTCTTTATTGGTGGGCTGCTGTTGGCTTCAGAGAAAAGAGAAGCATCTCCTCTCTGCCTGATGGATAGGAATAAGTAGAAAAACACTATTCAGATAAGTACTGAAGCTGGTAAAAAATTGACAGAGGTTTGATACTTGAAGAAAAATCCCCCTGAAAAAAGTTTTGTTTTATTTCCTTTTTAATTAGTTTTAGCATTTGTTTATTTTCAGGTTAAGCAGATCTTTCCCCACTTTCGGATGTTGTCCTCCTTCAGAAGAATGAGACCTTTGAAAACTAACCACATAAAATTGTGGTTCCTTTTTTGTTTTTTTTTTTTCCTAATAATTTCCCTTAACATTTTATTCCAGTCAATGGAATTTGTCAGTGAATGAATATTTGGATGAAACTACCACCAGCAGCTGTAGTTAATTTGTTCCATTGTTTTGTGAAGATAGCATCTTCCAGCACTTTGCCAGAGAGCAAGCAAGCGATCTTGGAATAATTTCTGTGATGAAACCTGCCTATATCTTGAGCACATGTGGTAATGTGCTGTTTCTGGACAGAACTCAACTACGCAAGGTATTTTTAAGTCTATTATAAAACCCCCTAAAATAAACTTTCCATGCACAGGCCTATTTTCTGAAGGAAAAAAAAAAACAACCAAAAAACCCCAAACTAAACAATAACCAAACCTACAAGATCTGAATTCTCCACTCAGTTCTGTTAAATCTTAAGTCACAGACATCTAAAGGGGAAGTAAACATGCTTGACCTGATGTGCCTTCGTGAAACACAATGTTGTAATGTACAGCTAGTGCCCTGGCAACCTGCTTTACTTCTTTATTTTCCCATCCAGGTCATAGAATCACAGAATGTCTCAAGTTGGAAGGGACCTACATAAGCAACATTGAGTCGAACTCTCTGCTTCTCACAGGACTACTAAAACTAAACCATATGACTGTCATCCAGAATTGCTTGCATAATGCCAGAAATCTTCTGGAGGATGACAATGTTTCTCCCGGGCTAAGGAGCCTGCTCTTTGAATCTGACCCTTCAGCTCCCTCCTTTGGCTCCTAACCACTATTTCAACTTCACTCAAATTTTAAGAAGGTATGGTTCACAACACAAGAAAATGAATGGGAAAATAATATAATTAAGCTCCCCTTTGACACACTTATGCTAAAGGAAAAACAGACACAACTTTCATTTTTTCTGTTGCTGACACTAACAAGGTTTCCTGAAGACAAACTCAAATACCATAGAAACAAGAACTGCCTCGATGCCTCTGAAAAACTAAGCAGTTAGGGCGGCAAGATCACTTTCCACCAGCCTACGTGCAATCTGCATCTCTGGTAGAACTGGAGACAACACCTTCAGGGCTGAAAACCACATGCCCAGAATCAGTCATGTAGTGGCCAAAGCTCAGTTCATGCAAACTACTTGCATAACTCTTTGTCTCACCCTCTTGTACACCAATACATTTGAAATGGCAACAACCTTTTACTGTCACACAATACCTTTGCTTTCAGGAAGGTGTATCACTTCACTAAAATGTAGGTTTAAGTCCTGTTCAGGCTTAGGAGGAGGGTCATTACATTAGAAAGCAGATAGAAAAGCAGTAATAACCTTACTCTTGGACCACAGTAGGACACATCATTGAAGTTCTCCTCCATGCCATACCTTACGCATGACAATCGTGTTATATCAGGCAGCACAGAGTTATCCTCCAGCCAGCTTCTACTAGGTAAACTGAGGAAACCCAGCTTTATGTCTACCTGCACCAGCTTTGAAAATCTAAAGCACACTGGGCTCCCTACAGCCAGATTTCAGGCTAATGATGGAGTCATCCTGCCTAGAGGACTTTTTCCCTTTGCTTCGGCTAGGACATGACTGTTCACCTGTTCAAACCTAATCAGCCAGTTATTTGAGCTAATAACCGCATAATGACAGCACTCTTAGCTCTCCAGATGACAAGGATCTTCCTCCTTCTAACAGAACTTCCTGACCTGTCCTGCCAGTGTTTACAGGTCATGCCTTCCTGTGAGGCTCTGCACTCCATTTCCAGATCAGTCACTTCAGATTTCTTCCTGTTGTCAGAATGATCTCACCACCAGAAGAGTTTTAAAGCACCATATCTCTTTCCAAAAATTTTCAGAAGCAACTGGAAACTATCTTTGTCACCCAGGATTCCTCTGAGTTCACTGCTTTCCTGCTCCTTGCCAGCTGGAAGCTGGCTATCTGTGGCTAATGTGACTGTGCTCCTAAGTAGGATACATTAACTTAAGCCCAGCATGGTGCTAACTCAGCTACACAGCTTGAAGCCACCTCAGAACATTAGGAGAACCAAATTCATATACAGATGCCACAGACCACATAGACAAGACCAAAGAACCTAATTTATAGCTGTTTTTGGAGGCTAAGATATATTTGTTACTGCCTGAGACTTCTCCTTCTAAAAAGAACACAGATTTGTGCCAGGTGCAGTAAAGGTTCCTTTGACACAGGAGCTTGTAGGCTGAACAGCAGCTTTCCATTTGTCACACATTATGCAATCACACAACAAGTTGGATCAAAATGATTTCTGTACCTGATTCCAGTACCTGGAGAAGGAGCTAACTGGTTGTTCGAAGGATGGGATTCAGTCTGTCATTAGGACATCTACATTTGGGTATGTACCCAATATCTGAACTAATATGTGAAGCAAAGGCTAGAAATAGTTACATACACAGAGGCACCTATTGCCCTTTGAAGTGCACTCAGGAAACTGCTTAGTTGCTCCTGCTGACTGACCTCCAATTGCTGCTGCTGCTGAAGAACACGAGTATTCCAGAAGGCTTGTGTCACACCTGCCAGATGCACAGAGACACACACTAGAGCATTTTAAACTACACTGTCTAACTACATTCCTAGCCAAAGTGGGAACCCAGGGCCCAAGCAGTCCCATAGCACAGCTTTATCAGCTACTGCCACAGGTCTTGACCACAAATAAAGCAACGATGTGCTAATGTAACTCAGTGAATGCATGCTACAGGACTTTATGTCCCCCAAGACTTGACCCACAACTGAAAACTGAAATTTCCCTTGCTACATTACCAATGCTATAGAATCATAGAATAGTTAGGGTGGGAAAGGACCTTAAGATTACCTAGTTCCAACCCCCCTGCTATGGGCAGGGACACCTCACACTAAACCATATTACCTAAGGCCTCGTCCAACCTGGTCTTGAACACTGCCAGGGATGGAGCATTCACAGCCTCCTTGGGCAACCTGTTCCAGTGCCTCACCACCCTAACAGGAAAGATATATCCAATATATCCTCCAACCTAAACTTCCCCTGTTTAAGTTTTAACCCATTACCCCTTATCCTATCACTACAGTCCCTAATGAAGAGTCCCCCCTAGCATCCCTATAGGCCCCCTTCAGATACTGGAAGGCTGCTATGAGGTCTCCACGCAGCCTTCTCTTCTCCAGGCTGAACAGCCCCAACTTTCTCAGCCTATCTTCATACAGGAGGCGCTCCAGTCCCCTGATCATCCTTGTGGCCCTTCTCTGGACTTATTCCAAAAGTTCCATGTCGTTTTTATGTTGAGGACACCAGAACTGCACACAATACGTGATAAACCATGTAGCCTTGGACATGGGGTTGGTCTTGAGAAGTCCTGTTCCTGTCCCAGATATCAATCACTGCATTTGAAGTCAAACCATGTATTTCTTTAGTACTCTGCCTGTGAGTGCTAAAGAACTGAAAGTAGTGTTGTTTTCTGTTAAAAACAAACATGAAACACAGGGCATACCTCCTGGCTGATGCTTAGCATCTACTAGGAAGAGTCAATAAATAACAATGGACCCACATGCGTGCTTGTATCTCACCTTTAATCAAAATGAAAGATTAGGAAATCTTGAAGGAGTTTTCTTTTTCTGTCTTTTTTCTTTTTTGGATCACAAAGCAAGCCAAATATTTATCCATAACACCGAGCATTATGTAGAGATTTAAAAAATATTCACAAATATTAATATTTGCAAAGCTTGTTGCAAATCTTTAAACATCTAAGAAATTAGATTTTAAGCTTTTGCAAACAAGGGTGGGGGAACATCTGTACTTTTACCTGCTTAAGGAACATGCTATTTAAAGAGTTTTAATCTATCACCATAGCTGCAACGTTTTTAAAAGAAAAACAGAGTAAAGGAACTAATCCTGTCCTCTAGTCACAACACTTCTCCAGCCTCTTCAAATAAAACTCGTCTGTATTTGCTTCTGCAGAGATAGCAACTGTTTGAGTCGTGCAGACAAACACATAGAGACTGTCATTAAAACACAGTAGCATTTTCCTAAGCTGGTACAGCAGACTGCTACCATCAGGCTCAGGCTTCCCATACCAGTTAAAGCACATGGAAGATTTTCACCCATCTCTGTTCCCCGTTCTACAAATCAGCAATAGCTGCTACACACACCCCATCTTGCTCATTTTTTAGAGGGTGGTTTCAGAAATGCACACCCATTTCAGTCAGAGATGGTCTGACACCATGGTCTGCTGTTTTGCTCAACCGCAACCACATTTTCACTCCCCTTGCTTGTGCTGTCCCCAGCACTGTTGCAATAATGCAATAAGATAGATAGTTTAGGAAACTGATACATCTGAAAAATGATCCATCAAAAAGTTTTTAATTCTAAGTGGGAAAGAAATGTAAGGAGGGGCAGCACTGGGGTGGTCTCAACTTAGATCAGCTGAAACTGCCATGGGAGCCTCTCCACTACACTATACCACCTTGAACATGTATCAGCCCACCTGGATGGCAGTCATGTACTGGTACATTTTTTCTTACTTTCTAGAAGCCTCTAGTAATAGGGGGTGGGAGGTGGCCTACCACCAAATTGTCAGTGGGCATGAACAGGCCCTCCTCAGCAGCTGGTGTGTAGTTATCTGTTTTTTGATCCACTTGTCAAAGCCCACATTCAGCAACAACATGGATCTTACAGGATGGATGCTGGGCCACAGCCAAAGCACATTATTACTGCTTTGAGTACAGCACTAGTCCAGATAGTTCCCAAGTACCAAATCTGGATTAGCTCTGCAAGCAGTATTCAGCAGGTTAAGTCTTCCTCCTCTCCATTTGGAGCTGGCATGGTACAACTCTAATGACAGAACGAGTCATTAACATAAACATAAACATGCCTGAGTTGCTGGGCTCCACCCTGGTTCTTGGAGGGGAAAGTCACTCCTGGCAGGGAGGTAGCACAGAGCCCATGTGTGCTTATGTCCCACCATAGCACTCAAAACAGGAGAAAGAGAACATGGCATGAGGGCTTGAAGGTTTAAACTGTGTGAGGACTAATGTTCATGATGCCTCCAAGAAAAGCTAAGACATTTGACAAGAAAGGGACTTTGCATAATTGCTTCCAGCCTTTCTGAAGTAGTTTAACCTTATATGCTAATTTCATTCTGTAAACTCCTATATAATGCAAGACTAGCTCAATCTTTTAACAGACATCTAGGACCTGTGCCTGTTTTTTTATGTATTTTTCTTTTGCTGTGCTGTTACATATTTGCTGAAGGAAAAATGTTATTGAGATCTGGAGAGGCAAGTTGTTGATGAGACCTCAGAACTGGTACAGGGTGGAATCAGCTCGTGAAAGCTTGTTTTTCAGTGCCAAAGAAGCTTTTGGCCTTATTATTACTAACATTTACTGTAGCAGCTGTAGGCTTTGAAAAAAGATAGGAGGTATCTGCATAAGCACACATCATCAGGGATAGAGTGTAATACAGCACCATTTTTTAAAAACCATGTGATTAGGGGATATGGAAAGAGGATAAGTGTTTTGCCTGAATTCACAGAGAGGATTTTTTTGCACAGATAGAAATGGAATCAGCCTCAGAAATCCCAAATTAGTAGGTTAACCTTAAACTTAGCTTTGCATTCATGTATGCTGTGAAATGTCATTAAGATGAATGAAGAGAAAAATACAGACCTTGTCATCCAGAATAGGCTCACACTGAGAGTAGTTTATCTTGGAAGCCCATGTCCCATTGCCCAAGCATTCTCTGTAGGCATTTCCTGGTACAGACCAAAATAAAAGAGAGATGAACACTCTGTGCTGATCTTTACAGTCTAGCAATTTCATAGATTATAAGAAAATGTTAACAGAACAGATTATTTATGAGGCAAATCAACTTATCCCACCTCTGTGAGGATTAGAATAGCCTGCTGAGGAGAGCAGAAATAAAAGACCTAAACACATCTAGATACAACAAGTATTCAAGATACTTACTGATAAAGTTTTCTTACAGCATATGGGTTCAGAAGACAGCAAAGCTGTGAGTATAATTTTGCAAGAGAAAGCTCAATGTGATAGTTTTTTAAAAAGCAGTTAAATTTTGTATTAAAAATGAGCAGAAATATTTAGGTCTTTAGTGCACCATGTAGGTGAATGGTATGTGTATGGTGAAGTTACTGCTCTACTCCCCTCTCATTTATAAACTGTAACTATAAGAAACAATCCAGGAAATACTGATTTTCTAGAGTCTTCCTATTCAACGACATTATGGGTAAGACTTCTGTGAAGAACCTGAAGGAGCAAGATAACCACACTGCCCAGCCCTGGGTGGGCAGGTGGGGAAGGCCACACAATGTCTCTGGAAAGTTTTCAGGAACTGGTACACCTAGGTTAGGAGGTGTTCACCCATTTTCTGTGAAAAACAAATCTCTTCTGATGTTCTTCCAATGTGCCAGCTCTCCCATAATATAAGTAAGTTACTTTACAAACTACTGTACTGAAGCAGAGGGATTTCACGTCCAATTGCAACGTCACCCTGAGGAACTCTGGGAGTGGCATGTAGAAATACTTGGGGGGAGGAGGGGAATTCAGTTTTTCACAAGCACTCCTCTTTATCCCAAGGAATTCAGAGAGAAAACTATACAGCACTGCTGTACAAACTACCTTCCTGCACTCATCAAAAGTACATCTAGTCCCAAGCAACAGGGTTACTTCCATGCTTATTTTGAACTGTATCTTAGAAACAAGAGAATTAAAATAAAACAGGAAATTCAGAAAGATCCCCAAAGGACACATACAGGCAACTTCCTAGTGAGCTCTTCCTGATGTGCTTGCTGCCCTTTACCCAACTTCTTCTTGGGCCTTTGCCATGGTCATTCAGTGCTAGCTCAGTACCAATCATCAGGAAAATAGGATGTCAAATAAAAGCATCATATTGAATGTTTCTGAAAGTGCTGTTGACAACAATCTTTGAAAAAGGTAAAAATAGTTTTGAAAAGGTGCTTTTGTCTTGGGACACATGAAGGAAAGTCCACATGGAAAGTAACAAGTAACAGTTCACCTAGATGCTCCAGATTATACCATATCCATACAGATTGATGAATTTTATACTGATGCTGTCTATTTGCATTTTTTCACTCTTTCTTTTTGGAGTGACAAGGCCAAAATAATAAAATAAAGTGACTGGTAACATATGAACTACAGGAACTCATGCTAGATGTTAGGGACTTCAGTTTCCATTTCTGTCACTAGTTTACAAATTCACACATTTCCCTCTCTTTATTACTGGAAAATCAGGTATAAACTGCCATTTCCATGCTATTTTTCTCATGCAATTTTGCCCTGAAGGGTAAGCAGATTACTAGATTTCTTCCCTCACTCTTTTGTTAACTATTATTCAGTATTTCAAGCTAAATGCATGTCAGAGAATCTTTTACTCTCTTTCTCTAAGAACAGGTCTGAGTGGGATTCAGGTGGCTGGATCTGAGCTCCATCCCTAAAAGCCCTTGTATTTGGCCAGTGCTGAAGATCTTTGTGCCAAATGGCTGCTGATTTTGGTCTCTGTAGCATGTCTGACTCTCCAGACAGAGTGGGAAACTTTGGTGCTTAGTCATATGTTGAATACCACTTCCAGGATAGTGATTATATGAAACTCTTATTTTATTCATTCTGACTCTTCCTTTCCCTCCCCATATCTTTCCAGCTCAAGTGTGGAGACCATAAACACAGTCAACACTTAAAATGTACAACTGGGACTACATCAGTACCTGAGAGGGAGAGGTGCATTTGAATCAAGCACTTAAGTTATCCATGTAAAAGGAAAATCACTCTTTTTTTTCTGATTTCTCTCTAGATGAGAAATTGACAGAAAGTGAAAATAGCTTGAAGTTGGGTGAAAGAGAGGGGGAGTGTCAAAACTAAGGAAACAAGACCCATTTGATACCAAAGCTCTCTTCAAAGAATTCTTGTAGTTGAGAAAGAAAGTAAATTTTAGGAGTGCTCCCCTTATCCACACTAACTTTTTCTTCTGCTCTTTTCTTTGTTATTTTTATTTAGTACAGAAATGGAAGCATAACCTGTGTCCATGACTTCTGGAAAATGACCTGTCAGGACCATGGCAGGGCTGTGAACCATCACAAACCATGTATTTTCCTTACGACACCCTGGTGCCTCTGTCATCTGCACCACATCTTCCTTGCTCATTATAGCCTTCTTTTAAGAAAAAGATGTTCTTCATTTTTATTACCCAGAACAAGTATTAGATCATGATCAAAAAAAGCAAGACCGAATTTCATGAATGCTATTCATTTGCACCTCTATTTTGATACGTAACCTTTCCACTTAGAATACCAGAAGCCATAAAATGTGCCTCTGAGCTCTCCTTCAGGAATCCTATACAATATGCACATCAAAGTAGTTACTTGAGAAACAGTGATCTAGGTTTACAAGCTGTCTCACCAGAGCTCTTACATGGTGAATATGTGAACAAGAGGAGGATAAAAATTAAACTCTAAGTTTCTCTAGTCTAGCGTCTCCTCCAGTATCAGCCACTTCTTGGAAACAAAAGCAGCAAGTAGACCTGACTTCTGGGAATGTCTCATTCCAAACATTAGTAATCATAAGTAATTTATAACCTAAAGCAAAGGTCTTCTTTTTTCCAAATGCCTTACAGCATTAGTTCTAGCAGCCACTTGGAAAGAAGCTTCTGGTCATACTGAATATATTTTCACATATCTATTTTAACATAATACAGATATCTTACACAGTGCTTTAAAGAAGAATAGAATCATGATTTAGTGAGAGGGGTAATATCAGAGGGTGAGAGTCACTGCAGGCACCTGCAAGAAAAGCTTTTGTTTATACACAGATGAATCCCAAGGCACAGGGTAAGTTTAGCATTTCTTGAGCACACTGGGCCAATCACATATGCACTGGACAGAGGCTCGCTGCATTCAGAGGCAGTCATGGAATCACAGAATACTAGGTTGGAAAGGACGTCAAGACATCTGGTCCAACCTTTCTAGGCAAAGCATGACCTAGACTTAGATGTCCCTGCACCCTGTCCAGCTGCATCTTAAAAGTGTCCAGTGCTGGTGAAACCACCACTTCCCTGGGGAGATTATTCCAATGACAGATTGTTCTCAAAGTGAGAAATTTTACTCATGAGAAGGAAAGTCACATCTGGTATGTGCTGAACTTCCCGTGTGTGGTTGTATATCTCTGCACAGAAGACCTCAGATAAATCAATGGCAACCTCAAATAATTACCATGTTCTTTTTCATAGCAGTGAACAGCTGCTTCATAGCATCCCTACTTACTGTCAAAGCAACACAATGAAGATGAAGAAGTAACAGACTGGACTCAGTGACAGGCTGAGTCACTGGAACATGCAGAGTTGTAGCAGTGATCAAAGCAGCAGAGAGATGCCAAAAAGATGACAGAGACATTGGTTTTATGAAAGACAGCAATAGAAGGTATATGTCCCCCAGCTTCAGAGTATGTAAAGGAAGAGAAGAGGGAAACCAACAGTTGGTGATCTCACTAAGAGAATTCTATGATCTCTTCTGTGATTGAACATGCTGAAGAATATTCTTTCTCACCCAGTTTTCCAATGAGAACAGGGCTTAATGTGCTTTGTGTTAGAAGCATTCTTGCCCTTTGCTTTAAAGCACTGTGTGCAGAAAGAAACTGGATCAAGTTCAGCTTTTATTAATGACTGTCATGAAAAATAGAGAGAAAATGGAAGAGTTATGATGGAGAACTCCACTGTAGAAACAATGATCACCCAGGAAGAAAAGAACACTTAAATGATCTTTCTAGGGCAACAATAGCTAGTAAAAGCTACTAGCAGCATTCCTTTTCTTCCTAGATAAACAATAAAAAAAAAAAGGTGACAATTTTAATTTTCTTAGACAAATGGCACAGTGAAGAATTCAGTATGCTTTCTATTCTTACAATTTCTCCTTCCTTACTGATTTCACTCTAAAGAACAAATATACAAATAGAGATTTTTGGTGGTTATAACTTGTGGTTATTTGTTCTGTGTGTGCACCTGCACTTGTATAATACAACTGTACCAGCAGATTTAATCTCTATGCAAGTGAACAGTAAGCAGTAGATGACTCATGATGATACAGGCAACACACAGACATTATATACATAGATTTTGACACATCACCCAATACTCACTTCTTTGCTTCAGTCTATGGCCTCTTCTTTGACTTTGAAAATGTTGATTCTCTTTTGTTGTAGATTATTAGCAACATTTATGGCTCTTGACTGCTTCTGCTTAACCATCAGTTCAGGGGACAGGCAAAGAGGTAATAGGGAACTCTCTGAATAGAAAGCAATATGCAGTAGGGCTCGGACTGTCACTCAGGTTGCTAGCTTCCAGAAAATGTATTTCATCCCCTCCAGGCCAGCCAGCATAACATATGCATTTTCATATTTCCTCTAAGGGTTGATTCAGTCATGCTAATCACAGTCATATGCTATCAATAAAGCAAATGACATCAATGGCAGTATTCCCAGAGTCAAATGCAGCAATTAAGAGTCTCTCAGACAGTGTACTGCGCTGCTTCGTAGTGGTGGCTGCTGTGACAGGTCTTAATTCTACAGCCATTTCAGCTCCATACACAATATAGATGCACATATTCAAAGACTACAGAAGTACCAATATTTGCAGTTCTCATGGGCTCTAAAATTATGAAAAAGGGATCTCCCTTTCTGAAACAAAACTTTGTATCACGTCACAGAAAGGTAGGTAAAAGATCTGAGCATA